TAGGTTATTATCGGGGATCCCGATAGACGAAGGAAGCACCGAACTGCCTATTCGGTTGCGATTCATGTTACATGCCGTACGCATTAGTCCTCAAGAACCATGGCGGAACATGTATACCTAGTTACTTTCCACCAGTCTTTATACAGCTCGTCACTCCAATACGAAACTCTAAAAGCAATCTATCGTACTACAACGGTGCCGTGGGCGGCTAAGTAGCCTGATTGAAACAAATTGGCCGGGGTCCCCCTTGCAGGGCTGGGATGGCTCCCCGTGGGATACCGAAACATCGGCCGAATTACTGTCTCTTCCTGAAGCACGCTCATCGCGATCTAGATGAAACCGGGGTGTCTTTTGTTCATTGCTGGCGGTTTCATGGACGCGTTGCTCCGAAGTTCTCGACCTACTGCCGACTGGGAACCCCTGCTAGCTCCCGTGGGCTTCCCGGGTGGAGATTAGAGGACCTTGAGACTGAATCAGTTGAGGTCAGAAGTTGAATAGGTCAGTATCTGTTTTTTTGTGATGTTCTGAGTATAAAAGAACCAGTCTAGTCGTTAAACTGAAGATGTTTTCACACAGGTCACTCACCCATCATCTACTACTACTCCCTTATCCAACTTCAAAGATCCTCCTCCGTTCTTCTCTTCACCATGAAGCTCACTTCTGTTCTCCTCGCTGGCCCAGCTCTTGTTGCTGGAAGATATCTTAGTGATGAGGTTACCTCTGGAACTTCGACTCACTACGGTGGCAATGTCTCTGGAGGCAACTGTGGCTTTGTCTCCTACACGATTCCCTCTGGCATCTATGGTACTGCTTTCTCTGGTCCCAACTGGGACAATGCTGGGGTTTGTGGCAACTGCATCGAAGTCACCGGCCCAACCGGCAAGAAGATCAAGGCCATGGTGAGTACTCTTATGTTTTGATGGTTTGTGGAGTGTGAGCTGATATACCTTGCTCTTAGATCGTCGACAAGTGTAACGAGTGCAACAAGGGTCACTTGGATCTCTTTGAAGATGCCTTTACTGCTGTTGGTGGCACGAACGGCCTTGTTCAGACCAGCTGGAGACTGATTTCTTGCGATATCACTACGCCTTTGGTCCTTCGTAACAAAGAAGGTGAGTTGGCAACATGCTCTTCTCCTACCGCACTCCAAGTTCATCAGCTAAAGTTGTCTCAGGCACCAGCGCTTATTGGTTCAGCATGCAAGTCCGCAACAGCAACCTCCCCGTCAAAAGCCTCGAAGTCAGCACCAACAGTGGAAAGACCTGGACTGGAACGACTCGAAAGGACTACAACTTCTTCGAGAACCCCAGCGGTTTCCAGGTCGATACCGTCGATGTCAGAATCACCAGCTCCACCGGCAGCACCATCATCGTCAAGAACGTCGGGGCCAAGCCTTCGGCTGAATACCCGGCCAGCGGCAACTTTGCTTAAGATGACGGAGTTGTTTTTCTGTTATCGGAAGAACAGTTGGCAGTGGGGGGTTGGTGGAACGCTGCTAGGGAGGTGATTTGCTGGCTGAAAGATTGGGGGCCGTTCTTGGAAGATTGTACCTTTAGATTCTTCGTATATATCGCTCTTTTCATCGGTGGCATCATGAACTTGTCAAATTAGACTGCAGTGAAGGCTTGGTGTGGACCTATGGCCACCTTATCAAAAAGTGCTGATGGAGAATATGTCCGCTTACATGAGCAGTTCGAGATTGTTTCTCACAGTGACCGTAAAGCCAAATCTTAGATATCGAATCCAGGCGCTGCTCTCAACATGATTGGTCGGCTTAATGTTGCTTGGCGTCGGATATACGTGGAATCTGACGTCCCTTTTCCATCTACACAGACCATCCAAACACTTTCACCTCACACCATCTCATCTCAGAAATTCCCGGCAAAGACAAGCGATGTCAGCTTTAGGCGTCAGCAAAGTGGCCATTCCATCATGCTGCGGGCGTTTATTTTAGCGCTTATAAGACACTTATAAATGAGCATTTCCTGATTTTTGAAAATGGATTCTTTGCAATCAGTCTGGATTTATCGATAGCTAACTCCTCTCTCTCTTGATTTTAATTAGGCCAGATAACGTTACGAAAGCTACAGCCCATCTCCCTCTCAATATGTCCAGTCCAGAGGCAAGCGAGGAGACTCCCCTTCTTGATTCCTTCGACTCTCAAGAGATGCACGAACTTTACAATATCACGCCCCATCCGATCACCGGCCGCCTCATAGATTCCTACCCAGTCACTCGTACAAAGCCTATGCGCGTCTTATGCCTCGGACAATCAAGAACAGGAACCATGGCTCTCACGATGGCCCTCAAGCAACTGGGTTACACGCCATACCACATGTCGCTCTCCTTCAGCGGCCCCAAGACGAACCTCGGTCTCTGGCGCGAAGCTCTCGACGCCAAGTTCTATGGGAAGGGCAAGCCTTGGGGTCGTGAAGAGTTTGATAAGATACTCGGACCGTACGATGCCGTGGCTGATCTACCGGCCATCTGCTTCGTCGAAGAGCTTGTGGCCGCGTACCCTGACGCCAAAGTTATCATCACTTGGCGCGACGTTGATAGCTGGCGTCGAAGTATGGACTCAACGGGAGGTCGAGTTCTTCGGTGGCCTCTATGGAATACTCTCGCGAGATGGGATACCGCACTAGCTGGCCCGTTCTGGGGGTTTTCAAAGAAAGTCATGACCGACTTCTCCGACAAGTCACCAGCTCGCCAAGCCTTCCACGAACACTACGACCTCGTCAAGAAAATAGCTCCAGCCGAAAGAATGCTCGAGTTCAAAGTTCAAGAAGGATGGGGTCCGCTTTGCAAGTTCTTGGATAAGGAGATCCCCGAGGAGGAGTTCCCGAAACTGAATGATTCAAAACAGTTTGTTTTGGCACATAGCTTGATGTGGTGGATTGCTTTTGCCAAGATGGTTGGAAAGGCTTCCTTCATGACTGCTATCTCTGGAGTCATCGCCTCGATATTTGCGATGTGGAAATTGAAATATGCTGTCAAGATTGGTGCTATGCTCAGACCGATCGCCGACTTGTCTTGATTTACCAGGTCTTGTAAGTGACGGCCACGGTTTCTTGTTTGCTTTTGCTAACCGTTGACTCGCAGCTTGATAATCTAATAGTTGAATACGGTTTCTTGTTATCGATATACTCATCCTGGGTGAGCGTAATGCTCAGGGGTCGATCAGTATCAGTGGATCATCCACATCAGCCAGTATCTTACACCATATCAATCCTTCTGCTTCTACTAGGATACTTTATCACAAACTCTCGGGGCTTCTAAAGACTCCACCATCTTAGGACAGTTTTCCCGCCTGGTACTCAGGGGATGGTTTTCGAATAGACTTGACCTGATCGACGTCAACGTTTTCAGGCGTAACTCTAAAGCCATCCGTGCTCGAGACTTCCAGTCTAGGTCGGCCTAAGCATAAGGGCTGAGCTATTGAATTTTAACGCAGTCCGTCTGATAATCATACCTTCTCATATTAGCTCCAATTGTTCTCTCCGCGGCTTAGTGTATTTCACCGTATCCTGTCTAGTTCCGCTCGGTTCATCTACCGAACGACCCAAATACCTGGAAATCAAGAGTCAAGACGGGCACTATCCCCAGTTCAACCAGTTTCGAGACCGTTTCTTGCTATACGAGCCGGGAACCGGCTGTCACGGCCTTCATGTCCAGGGTCCTTTAGTTACTAGTAATTATGCGTTATCGTTCAGTGTAGCTTAACCTTAACATGTAAATTCCAGGCACTGCAGTCTTTACGACAATGGACAGTGGCTTGAGTTCCCTTGCGCTAATGCTACGGAAACCGTCTAGTGTTGCACCAATTCCGACGAGCTGGGGATAGTGGCTCCTTTGTTCGTTGGTCTCGAATGTCTCACATTCCTCATGATGCAGCGGGCTGGGCTCGGACCTGAATCTTATAATTCAATTGCCACAATGAGAGCTCGTATAAGTTTCAAGGCTTTCACTCGAATTCTCTGCCAAGACTTTGTTCTGTATCATACTTCACATCTCAAATCTTTCACTATGAAATTCATCACAAGCCTTGTTCTCTTGGCCGCAGCCTATGTGTCAGCAAAGCCCTCAGGAACAGCAGAGTGTGCAGCGATCTACCAGAGATGTATTGAAACAATAACAGTACGAGAAGCCTTCCAGGTGTTGGTTCGAAGCTAATATCTTGATAGCCGCAAGAGTGCAAGAAGACTGATCGAGATTGTCTCTGTAAAGCTTGGGATGATGTTATAACGTACGTATCTGTTTGAATTCTGTTCGACTTCACCTAGCCTGGTACTAACGACGATCTCTGTAGATGTTTGGTCGACTGTCCAAATACTCCTCGCTACTGGTTAGCGAAGGAAAACGCCAGGGGCTTCTGTACATAAGATTGATGAATATACAAGCGTGCATTTCTTCTCTTTTACAATCTTACTTGCCACCTCTGGTTCAGTTTACAGAACAAGCTGGGCCACGACAAGGGTCTTACGACGCCCTGTTTGCTTATTCACAGCAACTTGAGTATACCAGGGTGGCATTTATGAACCGAGCTTGGATGAAAGGCTGTAAGAACTACCAGGCTGGACAACACCGTGCCCTGGACTCGATCACATGCAATGTTGTTGGGACATGGCCCTCGTCTTTTTAGGCTGCAAGAGAGGGTCACGAAGGAAATTGATCATGAAATAAACTCTATAGAACCTAGTCAATCAGCGTCATTTACATACACATCATGGCCAACTTACATGTCGTGGCTTTGGAGGTTTTTCCAGCCCAGGCTCTGTTTCTGCTTATCAATCAGCCGTGGACATATACTGTCTACTCAGTAGCGGAAGACCGAAGGGGATTCGACAATCTAATGTGATCAACAATGTACCTGAAACCTCTGTGTTATATTCCAAAGCCGTTCATAAGCCTGATTGGGATCCGCGCGCTTGACTTTATTATCATCCTAAGAACGAGTCCCCCTTGCCTTTATGTGTCATTGATCGCTTGGCACTCTCGTGTCACTCGTCGTCATACGGTGATTTCACAGGATCAGGCCGACGAGGAGCGAGTGTTCCATGCAACTTGTCTGGTTGAAGGTTCGCTGGGACATCCGAGGCCTTCAATCCAACCAACTCCTTGGGTCCATTGTCCGTTTCTGTCTGACCCGATACTTCGATCATCCCCTGTCCTTTTTCTGGTGTCGCCTCCGGCTTCTGTGCACGACTCTCTCGGAGGAGATATATAACCGCAACAGCAGTTCCGCAAACCACAGCCAGGCCCCCAGTGGCACCACCGAATATCGCGCTCATGTCACTCCTCGATTCAGATCGATCGCCATCAGAGACCTCGGCAGTGGCTTCTGTGGCGCTTCCCGATGAAGTGGTGCTTGTCTCTGTTACAGCTGTTGTGTCGCTGGAAGGTTTCGATGTCTCACTTGTCGATGTCGTTTGTGAAACGGCTTTTGTCAATGCCGGGACTTTTGGGGTGATGTGCTAGGTATCTTGCAACGACGGCACCGCAGGCGACATAGGTGTATTTGTGACCTTCGTCCATGATCAGGTATGCAAAATTGCAGTATTCGACCTTCTTGCTATCAATTCGTTAGTTACTTTGCCAAGTGTTATGAGTTTGTAGTACCAGGATGTCATTCTGAACTTGGGGTTCTCTGTCTTCCTGCAGCCATCTGAGCAATCATGCTGGTCGCGACATCGTCCAGCAAGGGTACATTTCGAATCCCCAGTACTTTTACAAATGCCCCAAAGGCCATTTTGGGTACTGAAGCGACACAGGGCACTGCCAGACTCGACTGTCCAGACTCGACTGTCGTCATAGCTGCCGGGCCGCCATTTTTGTAACCGCAAGTAATCATTTCAGAAGGTACAGCACGTCGTTCAAGGCGTCCAGGGCGTTTGGTCGTCTGGCTGGGCTGCAATGTCTCAGTTGCAGTGGACAGTTTTGCGTAGAGTGCATTGCTGTGGCATATGTATAACTGAAACAATTGGAGAGTCCATATTATTCGCTGCATATTGGGCTGTTTTTGTCTCACTCGAGAGGGGGAAGAGAGACAGGAAAATGAACAGCGACAGAGAGGAACTGCACCTGATTTTATTGTTTTCATGTTCTATTTCTGTTGGATTGCGGGGATAAAATGATGCTGAATTCAACGTACAACTCATCAACCCAGGATGATTGTCAAGGATCGCATGTGTTGGTTGTGTCGCCGAAACGCCGTGTTGATACCGTTTTATACGGTTGTTGTCAACCGTTTTCATCGGAATTAATTCGACACCATGTTCCTTGCAGCAAATCGTTATCTTAACGCGGCGTGATACGACTTGGCATCTGACTTGGCTCGATAGGGCAAGTTCCATTGTCATTAACCCTTGCAGAGTTTGTGATCCTTGTCTGCTGCAAGTTGAGTGATTAACCCATCCAAGCTCCAATGATGAGATGACAGGTTCGGTCTAACGTGCCGAGTTGAAATGAGACGAAGGAACAAGTAAAATTTGAGACGAGGAGGATTCGCCTCTGCTTATGTATATTTCCCGCGACAATCGTGCTCTCGAGGGGAGTTTGCGCTGACTCAAATCAGTCAGCAAATTGACCTCGGAATGTGATCACAGATAGCTCATGGTACCACGTCGTAAATAGTTAGAACATGTCGTATAGTATTGACCCAATCCAATGATTACAAGATCAAACCCCTGCTAGCTCCCGTGTAAACGAGGTCCCCGAATAATGAACAGTGGAGAGGAGACCGTGGTGGGCTGACCGCTGGCCGCTGGCCGCTGACGCTGACAGTGACCAGTCCAGCCCAAAGCTTACAGCAGGCAGGCTCTCAGTAACGTGCCCTCGGCCTTCAAACGGCGCTGCCGGGGTGTGTCCTCTAGCGGCTGTTAGCAGGCTCTCGTACTGGACGAGGCGTTTGTGTCTCAACCCAACCCTTCCCTTCAAGGCGATGGTGCTGTGCCTCGCCCTTCTCTCAGCCGCGCGAGTAAATTAATTATTGTTCTCGTAACTTTCCCCTTCTCTTTTCATCTCTCTCATCATAATTTCATTCCTTTTTCTCTGTGATGGACTCGAATTGTTGACGAAATGCATCGCAAGGTCTTTGTTCTGAGCGTCCCGCTCGTCTGTTTCTTGTTAGTCACAGTGAGCTTGTACCTTGGCCGAGATCATATAACCAGATTATCTGAGGCATACCTACCGCTTCATGCCCCCTCCTCCCTTAAGACCACGTCTACGGAAACAATAGATTTACCTTTGAGTACCTCGTCAGATTTGGTTGACTCGCCTGTTATCGAGGAACCTCCTTCTTATTCGACCCTCGACACTTACACCACAAGTTCAATCGAGGTACATACTACACCAACCATCTCCTCTACCACTTCCGCAGCGCCCTCACCAACAACAACAAAATCTGCCATCCCAATCGCAAATGGTGAGTTCCAATCTTCGACCTTCCGCATGAGAGTGACTAACATGTCCCAGGCTCCGTTCTCTCTACAGAGCGTATCACTCCCTACATTCACGCCATCCTCGATCCCACTTCAAAAGAGCGCCCACGTCTTCAATGCCCTCCCTTGGACACCAAGCGATACAAGGACCTCCAAAAGAAGAAGGACACTCGCGGAGACGCAAACGACCAACATCCAATCGACTTCTTCTTTGCACTTAATTTGCGCAATATTGTAGACCTTCTTCCTCGTCTCATGGGCAGCATTGTCGAGGCCATCCAATTCCTTGGACCTGAACGATGCGCCCTCTCAATCGTCGAAGGCAATTCTCCCGACGGAACTGCTGACGTTCTTGTTGCTTTGCGCCCGTTCCTCGAGGAACTTGGACTTACCTACTTTTATAACAACTCTGCGATTAACCCGTCAAAAGGCGCCCGCATTCGCAAGTTGGCCCAATTGCGAAACTTGGCCTTGGAGCCACTGTTTAAAAAGAAGGTTCCAGCGGCGGATGACACTACCGTCCTCTTCATCAACGATGTTGCTGCTTGTCCCGATGATCTGCTTGAGCTTGCGCTCCAGCGTCGTAAGCTGAATGCCGATATGACCTGCGCCATGGACTTTACCTACGCTGGTCCTGATCCTACATTCTACGACGTATGGGTAAGTTTGACCTGATTTCCCCGACCAGACTGAGAAACTGACACACTTCAGGTCGCCAGGACACTTGCTGGAGACACATTCTTCCCCATCCCCGAAGATGGATCATGGGATAATGCCTGGGACTTATTCAGAGGAAACCGAGAAGCACGAATGCGATACGACGCCCATCTTCCTTTCCAAGTCTTCGCCTGCTGGAACGGCGCAACAGCTTTCACGGCCGCCCCGATCCTCAACGGTCTACGATTCCGCGATCCCAAAAAGGACGAATGCTTCCAGGGCGAACCGCAACTATTCTGCAAGGACCTGTGGCACAAGGGCTACCGAAAGATCGCAGTGGTACCTAGCATCAGTCTGGAGTATACAGATGCGAGAGGCAAGGATATCAAGAAGTTGAAGGGCTTTACGAATGAGGTTATCCAACATATGGAGGAGGATAAAGCCCATATTGAGTGGCAGTACGAGCCGCCGGAGAAGGTCAAGTGTATGCCGTCTTTTGATCGCCAGACCTGGCTACCGTGGGATGAGTCATTGAAACGATAGATGTTTTACGGTTGTTTTCTTTTGTTCTTTTCTGTGTAATTGGGGTTATACCAGCATTGTTAGACGTGGGTGGTGTTGACGGAGTTCATTCATGGCGGTCTCGTGTCTGTACCAAAGAATTATAAATATCACGATGAAATCATCATACGATTCCGAGCATCAAGACAATGGTTTGAAGGCCGTTTATGGCTAGTTCATGGATGACGATTGTCATGTGCTATATGGTTACATCGAGTCGGAAGTGGCATGTCCACAGTCTCGGTTCAACGTTAACTCAGATCGTCAAGGGCACGCTAATTCGCTGCAACTCACTGGGTAGTGTTCAGCCCTAGCGACTAATTATAGGCCATCGTAAAGTCAATGCGAAGCCACATCGAACACGGACATGCCCGTTGTGATGGCTGCTTACTGGTCATCGGACACCTGAAAGGCGAAAGCGCCTGGCATGAGCACTCACTCAGGCCATCGACCTCTCGGTTCTTGTGGGTAGCAAGTAAACAACAGCAATACTGTCTACAATATCTAAGTCATCTAACTAGTGTCTCATGTCGTAATCTATCCGATGCGTTCTGAGGCCATTCGAGGGTATAAGCTAACAGAGAGCTCCCAGTGCCAACAAGCAAGACAACATAAATACCCCCGTCCAAAAACTTCATTCACTCCCATAGACAAATCCGTGTTGTCACCATTCATATCTCAGCCTCACATTCCCTTTCCCTGAATACGTTCCGCAGCAACACCATAGGCGGAGAGGGTGTCGCCAACCTCGCAAGGATCCTCTCCGAACTCAACCTTCTCAAATCCCTGAGGGCGATCCTTTTCCAAAGCCATCTTACCCATTTGCGCCTGGCAACGGAAGCTTCCAAATCGATATTCGACCACCGACCGGCCGCCCTTTGAAGCGTCCCCCTGAACGATGAGTTCGGTGATCTCGTCAACCTCAAAGACGAAGCGCTCCTCGAAGAACTCTGTGAGGGAGCTTGGGTTCACAAAGGTGCTTTTCCCGGTGATGATGAGAACACGCGATGCAGGTCCCAGAATGCCTTGTTCCCCATACTTGACGCGGTTGTGGGTGACTCGCACAGGGAAGCCTCGAACACTGATACCCTGTGTGAGAGACTTTGAGAGAAGAAGTTGAGCAGGACCAGGGGTGAAGAAAACGACCTTTGCGGCTGCGGTTTCATGGCGCTCCCAGTCAGGCTCGTTGATGACAGAGCACCAGATGCGTCCGACGTTGCGAATTTGTCCAAGCAGTTCATGATGAGTGACATCAGGTGGGAGATTGGTCAGCCAGAGGGCGCAATTCTGCTCAGGGGTGAGGCTCAAAGCGCTTGCATTTCGTGTGTTATGTTCTCCTTTGTAGTTGTCAGAGAAGACAGACTCGCGAGCTTCATCTTCACAGGCAGTGTGGCTGGCAGGGCGAGTGATAGCCGCCATGGGCCTGAAGCCACGGGCATTTTGTTGACGGGCAGCCAAACTGAGCTTTTGGTGATTTCCATCTTGGCTCTGGACGTATGGTACCTTCTTCAGAGCGTCCTCGAGCCAAGAGGGGAGAACAGGACGCGGAGCCTCTTGGATGGGAGCCAGGGGTATCTGAGAAGGGGGGAGAGTTGTTGGGGTAGCCATGCTTTGGTGCTCGTTGATGCCGAGCTGGCTGAAGTGCCCCTTTAGACCTTCCCAAATGGCTGGAGATGGAGCCAAGGCTCCGGGGAACAGGCTTCTGCTTGAAGCAGCATGATCAGGAGGAGGAGCAATAGGCTGGCGGATAGGATAGGCTGGTGTGGCTGGCCCAGCCACATTCGACTTGAAGGACATAGGGTTTTGAGGCACGAACCTGTAAGCCTCATGGTTGCGCTCATGCATAGAGATTGGTTTGTTTCGGAACTGAGGAGCTCGATAAGTGGGAGTTTCCTCGATGATAGCGTTCAGATTGGTCTGGGGAAGAGGGCCTCGATCCTTACGGAGACTGGGTGATTCCCCAGCAACCTTTGAGAACGTCATGTGGGATTTTTTCTTGAGTTCAGAACCTGTGCTGATAGTGCTAGGTCTGGTAAATGGGCTGCTCAGCTCATTAGAGGGGGGGGTAACGTCGAGATCAGGGCTGCTAGAACTCTCTCGAGTGGTTGGAGTTAAAGGCGCTTCCATCTTGAAGAACAGTCAAGATGGAACCGGTGGTGAAGATGAGTTGAAGATGAATAATTATGATATACTGGATAAGTGTCGATACAGTAGGGTACAGTAGAGGAGAGTTAAGTGAGATGATGAGAATCAAGATTCGAAAGCCGGTAGAGCGAAGACCAATTTATAGCCCTCCTTATTTGAGAGTCGAGATTGCTTATTGTTGTGATTGAATGGTCCGTGGACAGCAAAATATCGTTGAACAATGGCGGTAGTCGTTTCTATTCATTCATCCCGCCTTCATTGATAGAAGCCAATGTATGAAGCGGGGTTCCGAATAGAAACAATAGTGAACGATCAAAGAAATTAAACAAGTAGAAAGAATCAGAAATACCGAGTTATGTCGTGGATGATTTGCTTCGCCAAACTTTGCACGCCGCGCTGGTTGACGCACTCGGTTTGCAGCCGTGGGCTTCGGGTAGCTGCGCAGAAGACGTGGACGAGCTTGCTGTCAGATAACAGACCCAAATTGCGGTCAAAGATATTGTATCAGTGAAAGAATGTTATTTGTAATGGTGGGATTTCGAGTTTGTGTTTTGACATGTCTCGACGATGTGGTTGCTATAGCATGGTAGCCTGGGTATGCTGTCTATGTCACCTGGCAAGCAGCTGTTAGTCATGTGTGGTTTGATATCGGACGATGACGTCTTACTTCACCTTCGGTGACCGTGAGTCAGGCCTGGTCAATGATTAGATTCCCATAGACAAGCGGTGTATGCTTCTAGAGGGAGATGCGGCAACTTGCCGTTGAGTGTCACCATAGATTTCTGCAACTTCAGACCCAAGACCCTATGCTCTGAGGGCATTATATGATCTCCGCTTACTGCCCTGTCGATTCTCCATCCCAAATCCGATGATAGAACTCTCTGCGTGAGCTCTTACACTGTGTTCGAAGAGCCATGCCACACCATACCTTCTCCTGTACTTGCCATTGCCCGGCACCCAGTGACTTCTCTGATCCGGGCGAGTATTGCAACGGCACCCCCAAGACTGCACTAGCCCTCCACTGCGTGTGCTGTTGCAAATAATTCGCTTTGCACCTTCCAACGCTTGTACCTCTGCGGGATCGTGCGGGATCGTGCGTGAGGTTTCACAGCCGTCAGTCCTTTGGCCTGGTAATAAAGATCATTACCCAATCTCCTTTCCGGCAAACAGAACAGCCACATGTTTTCTAGAGGTATGCCCACAATTTCTATGGCAGAGAAGAGCAGAATGGATTAGCCACTTGCTAAACATTGGGGCGAGCTCAGCTTCGATCTTGTTCAAGCAGGATGCACATCAGCCATGTGAAGGATGGCAAGTGTTTTAGGGGGAATTGTTGAATGATCCCATTATTTGTGAGGTTTATGGAGGGATTTCCTGTCGAGACAGTGATAGACAGACATTTCAGGGTAAAGCCCCTCTGGCTCGTAGTCATGGCACCTATCAGAATGGATGGTTACCAAATTATCTTCACCGCGGATCCAAATGTTCATGCTTCTTTGGCTCGCTCCAATGCATTGCGGTATTTCCAAAATTGGCTTGAGATGTCGGGTTGCTCATCCTTCCGTCCATGGCTTCTTCCTCGACTAGAGGAATCGCTTCGGCAACACGAGAAAGAACTGAAGGACAACTAGCCGAGTTTCCGAGTGCTAGTCTGTGAAGTCGTGCTAAAATCCTCGTTAAATGCATGCACGCCTCTCTCTCATTCAATGATGGGCATTTAGTCATGTCCTTGTTCGACTGGTGGATATCGGAACTATCCGATACGCAAGGCCTTGTTGTGGCCCATGGCCTCGAAATTTTGCACACCTCCGGGATGTCAGTGCAGTATATGTACACTAGTCAATATTTTATTGAAAATATGGTGGCAGGAAGGCTGTTGAACTTGATAAGTGCTTTCACTTTCAGACTGTTCACGGCAAAAAATGGCTCGTCGGCTCGTAGTTTGGCACACGATGTGCTTTTCCAGAAAGGCCCGGCTGACCACAAGGACTCAACAATTTTATTATTTCGGATATACGATGGCTTGCGAATCTGTTCTGTTCATCGTTACCCATGCGATGATGGATTAATGGACGAGTGTGTAAGTTGGTCAAGCAAATGCCACTTCTGGGACGTGTGAGTTGCAAAGTGCAAGTGCCGAAAAAGAGAGCAATTCGGTCGACAGCGCGTAGTAAGGTATTTTTAAGAAGACTTCAGGAGTAAGAGGGATGAAGTGCTGGTGATTCAATTCTGGCATTGACGTACAAGAATTTGGCTGCGATCTTCATCTTCACCAATACCGGCGACGACCGATGACACTTGGGAATTGTGCAGCATTTACGTACGGCTTGCAGAGCAACCAACCAACAACACTGATAAAATTCATGCACTGAAAGAAGAAAAAGGAAGAAGTCTCATTCCTATTGATAATCAACCAATAGATATTGAAAAGAAGACAACAACAGCGTGTCCGTCAGTTCCTGCCTGCTAATAACGACTCCATGTACACATTCCCGCCCCACTTTCTATCGTGCTAAGGTAGACACCAAAAAAAGAACTTGCGGTTTATGTGGATCGAACACATGACCTTCAGATATCAATTGATTGAAGTTTGACTTCAGTCTGACGCTCTCCCAACTGAGCTAAACCCGCTTGTTGAATTCCTGTGGATTATTGTAGCTCATGACCATCCGCTCGAAGGCATTGCTCCACAGACGATCGAAGAATTGCGACGGAGGGATGGCATTTCAGCCAGTAGCCCGGCGTCTGTGGCTAGTCTTCCCCCCATCGAACTTTGCCTTATTATCCAAAGTTTGGTCGCTTGAAAGTGGTGTACAGTGAAAGTCAATTCAAGCTCTGCCTCTCCTCTGAGTTGCAGATGAGGTTACACAGACAGCCTTGACAGCATCGTACAGATCAGTAGAGTGGCGAGTAAATCAGTTTGGCTATAGTAGCGCACGACATAAATCTGGTAACTTTATTTTCCTCGCATGGAGCGGCAAGTCTCACTTCACTTCCCGTCCTTGATGATATGATGCTGCCTCATGAAGTGCCTTGTGTTGAGCCTCCTCCTGAGCTACGGAATGTGGATGCCTTGTGCGGGAGCTGGGCGAAGTAGGGCTGAAAATCCAGGAGCTTTAGACAAAATAATATGGGTATCTTCCGAAAGACAAGCCTGATTGTTGCTGTCAGTTTGATCATCTTGAGGCCTCTTTTCTTTCAGCTAGCTACCAACACTTGCTAAGTGGCGGGTCATATTAGGCAGAGGCCCAAGCTCCCTTAGCGTGTCCGGGGAGGAGTCAGGACTTACAGGGGCCCGCACAGGGGCTTTCGAGCTGTAAGTCCTAGGCCAAGGGGTGGACGGCAAACATCATCTCACTCTGATCCAGACCATTGAGATACGTAACACAACCAACAATCATGCGTTAGATAGACATACATCCCTTTCCTGTTATATGTCTCCCGTTTTTCAAAGTATTGACCAGTAAGACGTGCTATCAAACTGCAATTGGCGGGTCATAGATGGTTGGGGATGTCTTTCACTGAGGTGCCCTCATAAATGGATGGATGTACCTGTGCATGCAGTTTCAGCTGCTGCCGTAGGTAGGCAATGGCTGACAATGGCGTCAAGGCCAACGGTGAGGCAGCAATGGCACCAGGCACCAGCAAGTCCTAAGCTATCGGATTGGTCCCCTTCCCTGCCAATCCTGTCCTTGGAAGCCAAACGAAGGCTGTGTTTACCGGCGCTAGATCTACACTCCAGCCCAAGCTTGTTTTGTCTTCTCTTTCTCCCCTGCTAGGACGTTCTCGGGCTTTAAGCATGGAGTCGTCAAATACGACCACTGAGCCTGCTTGGATCGTTCTACCTCGTCGGACTCCCAGCCAAGTCGCTTCCTTCAACCGTAAATTCGACCGCGAATACGAGGCTTTCGTTCAAGCTAGAAAATCTCGGTCCAACATGCTCCAAAACGTTGGTGAAAACATTTCTGACATGGCATGGAAATGGAAGCACAAGCTTCTCCACCGCAAGAAGTCTCCTCTCGATGGGCCACTTGATCTTGAGAAAGAGTACAACGAGGAGGAGCCCGAGGAGACCGACTACAGGGATCCCTCGTTTGGTGCCGACACTGTCATACAAACCCTCTACGAGGGGAAGCACTCGGACCCTGGGAGGAATAATTGGGACTGGCAAGACTATCCACCCAAGCAAATGCCCACAGCCATTACCAAAGCACGAGATCGTGTTGCCATTAAGGTGTACAAGATCAAAGACATCCAGAAGGGCGCTATCTCAAACCGATACCCTCTCAAGTACCACCAAGTCGACATCCAGAACCCTCTTCTTGTCAGTGCAATCGAGCCTATTCTGAAGAAGGAGAATCTCCATCTTGACGTCCACGATATCGCCGTCTTCAAAGAGCCTTTCCGCCCTCTGTGGTTCTGTCAGGATGAGATCCGAGACTTGTATCGCAACACCAAGAAGGAATATCCGCTAAAGGGATATCTGCAACTGCTCCTCAGAGTTTTTGATGAGATCTTCCGCGATCTCAAGATCAAGCGACGGAACTTACTTGACAAGCATCTCATTGACTTCCGAACGGCATGGACTCTATTTCCCAGGGACTCTACAGCCTATAGCTATGGAATGAACTCCGAGTTCATTGCAAAGGTAGATGGTACCGAGTACGACACCAACGAAGGTGTCATGCAGCTCGTCTTGACGGCCAAAGTCATGGCTTTCAACGGCGAGGAATTCATCTGGAGGAAGAAGTCGCTTACGATCAATGAGTTCGCCGGAAACAAGCCGATTCGTGAACTTCGCCATTACCCCTTCGAAATGCACCCAGAGAAAGATGCTATTGAACAGCGCTTAGTGTCTCGCGGTCGCAAGGTTCTTGACCTACAGGGCTTGACGTATTGTTCATACAACGGCATTGCTCTTCACCCAGGAGAATCTGGCGTTGAAAAGCACAACGTGGAATGCCGTATCCTAGTCGACGTGGTCGGATATAACAAATACCACCTTGCCCAAGGAAAGCGTGAAAACAAGGACCCAGAGATTGAGGTAGTCGATGTGTCGCGCCGCCGCCATAAGCAGGATCTCGCCGAGGCCAAACCCGAGGGCAAACACCCCAAGACACAGCAGAAGAGGCTCAATGAGGAGGACCAGACCAAGAACAAAGAAGAGCTTCTTCAGAAGCCCAAAGAGCTGGCATTCATGACCGAGCTCATTGGTGGATACGCCTTGAAGAATAAGCTCTGGGGTGAGATCACTGATACCTGATGTTTGTGCTTGTGCTAATCATTTATAGTCTATTTCTATGTTGAGGATATTGAGCCGATTATCTGGAATGATCAAGCGTACTCCCACCTCGTCTTTGACGAACAGCAGAAGGATTTAGTGCTGTCTTTCGTTGAGAATCACAGCCTTGCCAACGGCGTCAACACGGCTATGGAGGATGTGATTGTGGGCAAGGGCCAAGGCCTCATCATGCTTCTGTCTGGCCCCCCTGGAACAGGAAAGACCCTCATGGCCGAAGCGATTGCTGATCGTACCCATCGTCCTCTCTTCTACTTGCAGGCTGAGGATCTAGGTATTAATGCTGCCGCTCTGGGTGCGAACATCAAGAAGGTGTTTGAGATGGCTACCGAGTGGAACGCTGTCATCCTGCTTGACGAAGCGGATGTCTTCATGGCAGAGCGTAACCCCAATGACATTCATCGCAATGAACTTGTCAGCATCTTTCTTCGCGAGCTCGAGTACTATCGCGGCATCATCTTCCTCACCACCAACTTGTACCATACCATCGATACTGCGTTCCGCAGCCGAGTCAGCTTACATCTCCTCTTCAAGTCTCTCACTCGTGAGGCCCGCGAGACCGTTTGGCGCAAGTTCCTCCAACGTCTGCCTGAGAGCAACCGAATCACAGACGTCACGGACGAATCTACTGCCACGGGCTCTACCACGCCTAGAAACGACGGCACAGAGGGGGATGCTGAAGGAGAGATCACTGCAACCTATCATGACAAGCCGCTCGATGACGAGGACATTGCAGAGTTGTCACTCTGGCAACTCAATGGGCGAGAGATCAAGACAGCGGTCAAGATGGTGCGCAGCTGGTGCGATCACAAGGGGTATATCATGACGCTGTCGCGATTGGAGAATGGCATCAAGGTGACAAGCCCCCATTCGAACAAGGATGGCGATGTGGATAAGGATCTTTACGAGTGATTTGGTGTTTTCTTCCTTTTGATTTCAAGATACCAGTCTGTTTGTTGATGGCTCTATTCTGTTGTGATGTTATGCTTTATTATCGTACAAGTCAATGAAAATATCGCGATTCTTGAGTACTTTGATCCCAGATGAACCAGAAGCATATATGTGAACTTGTTGCTACCCCATGTACTCCATACAAATGCCTTCGTAATTCCGTTCCAAACCCATGCCTGCTCATCCCGGATACCATAATTTACAATAAACCTCAAAAACCAGATGTCCACCCTACCATCCTTTATCGCCGAAACAAAAGTTTTGCATGTGTATATCAGACATTAATTCAACCCCTTGATCGCAGTCCCCTTCGTACACCAGTTTGTGCTGCTCTGCCTGTCTTAGTCACGCCGGTAGGAGCAGAGCCCTTGGCCTTGGTGGCTGTTGCTTTGGCTGCTCCTCGTCCTCGCTTTGGAGCAGGAGCTTCAGCAGTCTTTGAGCTTGGGAGCTCTCCCTTTCCAGCCTTTCCCTTTGCGGGCCGTCCACGAGCCTTGGGCTTCTCTAGTTCGGCCTCAGCCTCGGTTTCGACAGCAGGCTCCGGTGCCTTCTTCGCGGCAGCACGACCACGAGGCTTCGCAGCAGGCTTCGGCTCTTCGGGTTCAACGGCCTTGGAGCGAGTAGACTTACCACGCTTAGGTGCGGGCTCTTCCACCACTTCCTTGGCAGCTTTTGTAGACCGTCCTGTCTTCCGGCCTGTAGATTTGCTTGGTTCCTCAACTGGCTCCTCGACTTTGCGTGTTGTGCGTCGCTTCTTGGCCGCAGGCTCGGGTGCTTCAACTTCAGGCTCAGGCTCAGGTGCTGTGCGTTTAGAACGACCACGCTTTGTGGTAGCGGTCTCAGCAGGAACACCTTCAGTGGCCTTGGCTGAGGCAGCTCCACGTCCTCGCTTCTTGGGAGCCAACTCGGGCCCAGATGCAGTATTCTCGGCCGACTTAGTAGCTGTCTTGGCAGCTCCACGCTTCTTTGCAGGTGCAGGCTCAGCTACGGCCTCTTCGGCGGCCTTTGAGGCAGCTGCCCTTCCACGTCGATTGGGAGCCGATGCTGGCTTTTCCTCTGGAGTAGACTTGGTAGCACGACCACGTCTCTTGGGCGCCGGCTCTTCAGCCGCGGTGTCCTCAGCAGCTGCAGCACGACCTCGCTTTCGCGTCTTGGGCTCTGGAGAAGATTCGCCACCTGCTGGCGCCTCAGCCTTGGAAGCAGGGCGACCACGTTTCTTGGGAGCTTCGGCGGGCGCCTCTTCTTTAGGTGCAGCTGCAGTTCGGCGGCCACGTTTTGCTACAGGCTCTGCTTTCTCAGCTGCAGGGAGAGCAGCAGCAGCAGCCTTTCTTGTAGGTCGGCCTCGCTTGGCTGGAGAGGGAACTGTACGTGGCTTAACCGTGCGGGTGCTTTTCTTTGCGGCAGGAGCTTCATCAGTCAACTCGGCACCTCGCTTTGCCCGACCAGCACGCTTGGGCGCTTCCGCTTCTGGCTCGACTTCTTCCTCTTCTGTTGGCTGAGGAGGGTTCTTCGGTGGCCTGCCACGTGGCTTTGGTGTTGTCGTAGGAGTCGCTGCGGCACGGAGTCCAATTGCAGTCTTAGGTGTCCGGACTGTCGTAGCTTTTCGAGGTGTCGTTACAGCCTTGCTAGCACTGGCAACGAGACGGCCTCTAGCAGACAAGGGCTTTGATGCGCTGGGGACAGTGATTGGAGTGGCATCCGACTTTCTGGGTCGGCCTCTCTTTGCGGTACTTGGGGGCGCGGCTGGAGTCGCTACAGCATCGCTCTTTCGCGGGCGTCCTCGCTTTCTGGGGGTCTGGTCCGCGAGAACACTTGCAGGCATGGACTTGCGGGCTCGTTTCTGGGCTGACGACGGAGCGTTCTTAACCGCGGGTGAAGTTGGCGCAGAAGCAATAGTTCGGCGGCCACGAGTGGGTTTTGTGCCAGACCCCGAAGACTCTTCCACAACCGCTTGTGTGCTTCGTCGGCTCCGCTTTGCGGATGCTTGTGCAGTAGGTTCTTCCTCGTGCGACGGCCCATCCTCAGGTGCAGGAGCTTGGGAAGTGAATGTTGCCTTTTCAGGCTCCGACATTGATTTCAGTTCAACGACTAGTGAGGGAGTAGAACCAGCTCTTTCGGTCTGTTGTTCTAATTGTGTTGAAGTGGCTCTTCGATTCTGGGAGTCTTCTGGTTGAGGTGTCGCCACGACTGCCGGAGGCGGCGCCGACATACGCTTCATTATACCTCTGCCAACTGAAAGCAATGCGTTTTTAAGAGAGCTAGATCCTGTGGCAGGAGCTGAGGCGAGCTCTGGTGATTTGGATTGATTTTGCGCTGGGGTCTGTTGCTCATCGGTGGTCTTATTGTCGCCGACCGCTTGTTCAATGGGTGTCTGGGTAGGTGTTTCCTCAACGCGATCGGCTTCGCCATTTTCAACAACATTGTCAAGTCCTTGTTGGGAAGGCAATTCTTCGGGCTCCTTTTCCGAGGACTGGACAATGGTCTCGGTATGCTCATAAATCTCAACGCGTGACTCCTCTACAACGGGATCCATGCCTCCCTCCGCGACCACTTCCTCGGTGAGATTTGACTGGATTATCGAGTTCTCTTGCGTGCCTGCAGCAGGCTCCTGCGGCGGCGAGAATGGGGCACGTTCGGGTGAAGTAATATGATGCGCATCAGTCGGTTCCTCTACGATAGCGGATTCTTGTGGCGTATCATCTTCGGGGGGATCAGAATAACGCGAAGGCTGCTCAGGGAGAGCAGAGACATCGGGGGACTCGAGACCGTCACTGTTGAAGGTTGCATCGCGTTGCCAGGGCCAGCTAGGAGGAGGACCAGGGCTTAAAGCATTCGACGGTGCACCTTCAGGAGCCTGGTTTCGGGGCATGAAAAGAGGATTGAATAAAGGAGAAGCCTCTGGGCGATATGACTCGGCGAAAGAAGCATCATCAGCCTCGGGCATAGTGTTGGGCACACCCGGTGACGAAGAAGCGACAGTTACGCGCTGACCAAATCCGAGCCAGTTTGATGAACCGGAGCCAGAGCCAGACGGGGCGTCCTGGCCAAAGTTGTAATCCATTGCTAAAGTTGAAGCTGTAGATGGGCCATTGATAAGAGATTGACTTGCCGAGAAGAGAAAGACAATTGAGGCTGAATTTTGTTTTGTTGTTTACTTGATTTGCATGATGATGTATGATCCAAGCCCAAGCTCGTGTTGCGACGCGCTTCGTGAGCGCGATTAGATTAGAGTGCATCTCCACTTTTCGATGTGAGGGATGACATAATGGGTCTTCCCTGTCTGTTCGCGCGAGCACTTGCAGTTGATCTGATCTTGGCGCTTGGCAATTGAGCTTAGCGTTGACATCCAATCTCTATTCACCTCAACCTCGATTCGATTGTTGATGTTTTAGTATTAAGATTTGTTTTCGAGGTTCAAGATATGGATGACAGAAGCAACATGGCTCAGGCATGGATTTTGCCCAGCCTCACATTCATGCCCATGCCCTGTGCACTCCATTGGCACAGTTACTCACTAACGATCCCCAATGTGTTGAAGCATGGAGCTGCCAGAAAATACGATGCGTTCAATTAAACAACAGCGCTAGAGATACCTCCCTACAACTGTATCCGCTATTAAGTTATCTCTTTACCCCCCAAACGTTTAGTCAGGCATGTGATGCAGGCCCAGCTAATCCTGCACTGCCACCGCCTAAAGCCCAATCAGGGATTCATCAAACAGAGCATCCAACTACTGTCGTTGGAACGGCCTGCAAGTGACGTTATATCAGTCAAATCAGGTATCGCGAGGCCTCCTCTATGATACCCTCAGGGTCCCTTACCGCCATTCCCCTGCAAGAGCTGCGGTTCCTATCGGCCGTGCTCGATGACTACCGGATGCTACCCCGGGCAGAGAGGTTCTTCCTTAACAATACCGTGACAATGTCCCGTCTATTGTCCGCAAATTGTGGTGCCCACCTACAGCCACTGCGTTAGCCCGCCAGGTTCTATTGTCAATGCACCACTTCCGCTATTGCAGATGCCTTCACAGCTGTCATCCCGGCTCCTCGGCTTGGCAATAATTCGCTCAAACACTGCCTGCTCGCACTCTCTTCTTGCTCAAACGAGTTGGTCTGCAACCTGCTCACTCACTTCCCTCGGAAAACGGCACAGAACATCCAGACCTTACGCCCGTTCAAGTTGCAAACAGCCCTGAAACACCTTCTCACTAGGGCATCGTCTCCGGCGTATTAACGCCAAACAGACAAACATGTGGCGCCCAAATCTCAATTTTGTCAAAATACACTGTGAGTGCCGTTCTAGTGATAAGGTGCCGAAAGGATGCGGCTGACAACGCTATCTGGCGGCACGTAGACATCTACATCATCTGCATGGGTCTGTCGAGCTTCTTGTTCATCTATCCAGAAGGCAAGCTGAGTGCAATTGATGCCTATTTCTTTGGCGTTAGCGCCTCGACCGTTACCGGTTTAACTACGTGAGCCACTTTCTACAATACTTGTGGGCTTCAACGGTGCTAACCGTTTTCACTACAGAGTCGATGTTCCTGTGCTGAAGACGTACCAGCAGCTGTTTCTGTATTTCGTACCGCTGGTTTGCAATCTTGTGACAATCAATATCATAGTTGTTGTCGTTCGTCTTATCTGGTTCCGAAGATACCTCAAGAATGCTGGTCAGTTCGTTCTCGCCTGTACTTGGCGGCCACTGCTGACATTTCGCAATATAGCTCCTGCTCTGCTCAGCAGACGCAGACCAGTGGATCTAGATCCTAAGGAGGATCCAGAGAACGTAGCTGATAATCCTCTTTCGGAAGTGTTTGACAAAAGACCGGGACTTGCACGATCTGTCACAGAACGCGTTCATAAGAATGTCGCGGAGCGAGATGCACTCCCGCCAATCGAGGCTCGTAGTCGGACTGATCCAGCTCCTGATCACCCAACCCATCAACGGCCGGTAGACCTTCTTTCGCCCACAATTAAGGAAGAGACGGCAAAAGAGGGAGACCAGCACGAAACGAGAATCACTTTTGATCCTTCGACCGATCACCATCCTCGCCATGAGCAGCAGGAGTCGACTCTCTACATCCCCGGTCCTCGCGCTCGAGACCAAGGTACACCAACTACTTGCTCCTTTTCTTGAGCCAACTGACGTATCCAGGTCTTCCTTTCGTCGAGTTAAATAACGGACGACGGTTCAGCCGAGACACTAGAGATGGTACGATCCCTGTCTGTTGCTGCATGTATTGCATGTGACGTGAGCTAAGCCCTCCTTCTAGAAGATGTCATTGAACCGATTTCGCGAACTCAGTCCACCCCCGTTGGTACCCTTCGCCGTAGACGTAGCGCTGGCCTTAGTCTGGCTCAAGTCCGCTCCGTCGAGCGCGTCGCTACTGTAGCTTCGTCACTCTTTGTTATTGGCAATCCTGCTCAAGCGCCTAAGGAGCGTCCGCTGGCCAGGGCACCAACACTTGCCGTGGGCGACTTTCCACGTCTATCTCGAGAGGTCACCATAGGGCGTAACTCCATCTTTCACAACTTGTCGTCTAAGGACCGGGAAGAACTGGGTGGTATTGAGTACAAAAGCCTGAAGCTCCTGCTCAAGATAATCATTGGTAATTCTTCGCGTGGTTAACTGAGGGAGAACCTGCTGATGTCTACAGGCTACTATGTCTTTCTTCACTGCCTCGGGGCCGTCTGCTTGATAGCATGGGTTCAAAATGCTCCTCAGAAGTACGTTGAGTACATCGACAAGTGCGGGCAAAATCGAATTTGGTGGTGAGTTTACTCCTGAGTCATGACTTCTGGCCCTTCTCACCTCTTATGCAGGGCAGTCTACTCTTCTCAAACTATGATCACCAACTTGGGTTTTACCTTGACTCCCGATTCAATGATATCGTTCAATGACGCTCCAGCTCCCCTGCTCATCATGAGCGCCCTCGCCCTCGCTGGTCACACCTTTTACCCTGTTCTCCTCCGGCTTGTTATTTGGGCTGCCTCCAAGGCCGTCTCGAAGCGCTCATCCCTTCAAGAGCCGCTACATTTTCTTCTCAATCACCCACGGCGATGTTATACCCTACTTTTCCCCAGTGGACCAACCTGGGCGCTTTTTGGCATTCTCGCCCTCCTCAATCTCGTTGATGTTCTGTTCATCATACTCCTGGACTTGGACAACTCGACTGTGACGGTACTTCCTGGATGGCAGAGGTTCTGCGCCGCTGTGTTTCAGGCTGTTAGTTCTCGACACACTGGTACAGCCAGTTTTAACCTTGCCAATGTTAACCCAGCTGTGCAAATGGCTTTGCTCATCATGATGTACATCTCCGTGTACCCTATCTCAATCGTCGTTCGTTCTTCAAACACCTATGAGGAACGCTCTTTGGGCATCTACGAGCATAGTCTGCAATATGATGAGGAAGATGGTGGCTCATATTTTGTAACACATCTCAGGAACCAGCTGAGTTTCGATTTGTGGTATATCTGTCTTGGGCTTTTGTGTATCTCCATTGCGGAGCACAAGAAGATCATGGACGGCAATGATCCAGTGAGTATGGCTCCACAAGGCATTGGATATAACGCTCACCATAATAGGCATTTACAATGTGGCCGATGTTGTTTGAGGGCGTTTCAGCATAGTAAGGATGACCCCCGTTATCATCGTCACAGCTAACCGTGACATAGCTGCAATGTCGGCTTGAGTTTAGGATATCCTACCATCAATTCGTCTTTTTGCACCGAGTTTACGACATTTAGTAAACTCATCATCTGCGCCATGATGATTCGTGGGCGCCATCGTGGACTTCCCTATGCCTTGGACAGAGCTATTGTCTTGCCAACAGAGAAGTCATTGGGCGCTGAGACTATCACCCAGCCCCACGAGCCGCATGAATCTCACGAGCATCGCGAGTGATTTGGACAACGCAGAGTTTCTTCTTGATCATACACGATACCGGTTGCATGAGATCACGGCCTTTTCCCTTCTTCCTTTTTTTCTTTTCATCGTTCATTTTGTCTTTCGTTGGCAGCATAGCGACGTCAGAGTTACGCTTAGAGACGTCCGGTGGGTAGATTGGTAGATCTGCAAGACTTTGAACGGCGCATTAGATGCGTCTTGGCTCGAGAACTCTTTTTTCACAACAAAGCAGAGGTATTGTCCCCAGATTTTATATTATAAACAGGCCCGGCGCTCTGGATTATCAGCATTTAGGGATATAAGATAACTTAGCAAGACAAGCCAGAATCCTCAAATAGAGATTTTTTTTTATTCTACCTTTTCTCATTGTGCGTGTGTTCTGTGACTCGTTGCTCGACAAGGTAGTGGATTTCGAATAACTCTGCCAATTCTCTACCTTAATGGATAAACTGCAAAGCTTGATCCAATTCGCCCTTCCATCATTGAACACTGATATGCAGAACTTTATTGTGAAACTTTCCCCTCCAACACTTTTAGCTTCAGGCTCCAAGCGAGTTTAAAATCTCGTGCCTCTTTCTTCTTTCTGAGCAGTCATCTCCCGACACTTAAGTCCCCTTTACAATCGCGCTGGAAGCCTGAACTCATCTACATCATCCCTTGCAACGGATTTTGGCCACTCTACTGTCGAGCCTCTCCAATCTTCTTGTAAATTTATACACAACTAATCATGGGTCTCTGTCTTTTCCCCTTTGGTGGGCTTGTTAGCTGTGTACAGACATTCCTTGGCGTCTCAACTGCGGTGTGCGTATAGCCCCCTGCCTTGGGTTTATTCCACAAGCTAACAATATTTTGCAGGTCATGCTGCATTTTCACCTTAGACGGCGGGCTTCAAACGCCATTCAATTCCGAGGCAGAGGATTCAAGGCTCTAGGATGAAAAATCTCAATATGCCATACTTTGGTCATATGATGATGAGCCTGAGGTTTAAATCATGCAACATGCAACTCTCCCAACAGCCTTGGGCTCGCGGCCTCTGGGGCAGGTGTTTTCTGCTGTATGCAATTTCTATCGTTGAGATTTCTTGTTCTTTCAAGTCTACTCTTGAAGGGAGTTGTATAAGTTCAAGGAGTGCAGTGGATGGAGAAGTCGGGAGCC